AAGCCAAAGGCGAGACTAGTGGTACTTGGTTTTGAAGATCCTGAAGTATCAGAAATCCCAAGAGACAGTCCAACTATGAATAAGTTCACTAGAATGCTCCTCCTCCAGTATGCTGCCAGTGCCAAATGGGACATACAAAGCTTCGATGTCCAGACGGCCTTTCTGCGAGGAAGTGAACAGAATGGACGCATGTTAGCCATGGAACCCCCGGAAGAAATGCGACAGAGGCTGAAACTTCGACAGGATGAAGTCGTACGTCTCCTCAAAGGTGCCTATGGTCGTGTTGATGCTCCGTATTTATGGTTCATTGAGTTGAAAAAGACACTTGAAGATCTTGGTTTCAAAGCCTCACCATTCGACCCTTGCCTGTTCCATTTGAGTGACAACACCACCCAAGAGACACAGGGACTTATTGGTATTCACGTTGATGATGGACTATGCTGTGGAAATCACATCTTTCAGGAAAAGCTCAAACAGTTGGAATCCAAATTTCCTTTTGGATCAAGAAAGATGCACAACTTTGTTTTCACAGGTTTAAAGATTTCCCAAGCACATGACTACAGCATCACCGTTGATCAAGCCCAATATGTGCGAGATATCCACGCCATTTCCCTTTCCAAAGAAAGAAGAACACAACTTGATCATGTTGTCACAGAAGATGAGAGACAAGCATTACGGGCCGTGATTGGAAGTTTGCAGTATGCAGCGGTGAACACCAGGCCGGACATTTGCAGTCGGCTGGGTTGGCTTCAAAGTCAAATTAACAAAGCTAAAGTTTCGACCTTGGTTGAAGCGAACCGTACTTTGCATGAGGCCAAGCAGTTTTCTGATGTAGCCTTGAAAATCCAACCGATTCCAATCAAAGATCTGAGGTTTGTAGCATTTTCTGACGCCTCATTCGCATCGGAGAAATGTCCAGATTCCCACCAAGGGATGATGATCATGTCCGCCCACAAATGCATAGGGGAAAACCAACGAAGCCCAGTAAATCCAATGGTTTGGCATTCAAAGAAGATACAGAAAGTAGCTGTCAGTACCTTATCAGCTGAAGCCATGGCCCTAGCTGGTGCTGTTGACATGTTGTCATGGGTTCGATTGTTTTGGGCATGGATTTGCGATCACCGTTGCAATTGGCGTCAAGCCGATGAAACCTTGCTTCGACTGCCACCTGCAGTCTCAGCCTTGTCACCAGAGTTGCCGGATAAGCAGCCGATGCCTGAAGTTGCCACCCAAATGCTCCAACATATTTCCAAATCACGATCAGATTTCATTACCACTGACTGCAAATCACTTTTTGACCTTATTAACCGTAATGCCCCACCAACTTGCACAGAATTTCGGACACAACTTCAAGCCAAGCTGATTCGGGAACACATACAGAATGGCATCCAAATTCGATGGGTACCATCAGCCGCCCAGGTTGCAGATGCATTGACTAAGGTGATGGATAACACCATGCTTAGAACTTGCCTTAAACAGGGTTACTACAGTTTGCATGATGAAAGTGAAATTTTGAAAGCCAGATCTGATGCTAGAGCAAGAATCAAATGGATCCAAGCACAAAATCCCGACAGCAAAGAACCTAGTTCACATGTGGAAAAGCCAAGTCGTCCATAGTGTGAGCAAATTCAAAGGTGTTTTATCAAACAATTCGAGAGTTGTATGCATGTTTGTCCTCCATCCAGAGATGCAGAGACGCTGAGCTATGGGAAGCATTGGAGATCAATGTTAGCTGTATCAAGGGGAAGTTTTGCAACATCATGTCCTTGAGTCAGGGTGATTCAACTTTTGGCGGCCGAAGATGCTTCCAGAATGTGCACATGGTGAACAAAACTTAAATAACACGAATGTGAAAGCCATAACTGCCTGTTCACATGTGCTCCTTTCTTTCCAGGTGGGTCCAATCTTCACCTCTGTGCATCCGCAGCCTCAGGGGAATGAGGGTTCAAGGCCCTTTGCAGGAGGGAGGGCGTGCTTGAGCAATAGCGCTATCAGTGACGCTTAGCAGAAGGTCTCCACGGTGGTGACTGGGTGTGTCAGCTGACAGCAGGTTTGTGGCTTCGCAGGAAAACAATCCGCAGATTGGGGAACAGGTTTCCAGGTTTGGAAAGGCCAGCTACCAATTGTCTGTTCGACAATATACATATACATATACATATACATATACATGTACATATACATATACATATACATATACATGTATATATAATATCTATATATATATATATATTGTATGTATACATACATACATTACATTGCATTGCAATGCATTGCATTGCATTATAATACAATACAAAACAAAACAAAACATACAGCATCATACAGCCATATACGGCCATAAAGCCATACATCTATCATTTCAAAGTCTCAAATGGCTCAAAGCATTTGGAAATGAGTTCCGCCTGTTCTGAGGAGGACAGCTGGACAAATCCTTTCACCTCGGATGCAAGGCTTGCGTCTGGAAAGACGGATTGGGTCTGCTTCCTTGCAGATTTGGAGTGTCCGAGTATCCTAACCGAACCAGAGCAATTAGAGGGAGAAGTGCTCCATGCTCAGAACAAGTACAAAGCTCCCAAGGTTATTCACCCCGAGATTTGAATCTGTTCCTTCACTGTCGCCTGTGCTGAGTCTGCAGGCAAATCGTTCAACTATGTCGATCTGCTTTTTCCTGCGTCAACCAAGGGAAAACCCAATGTGGATTACTGGTCCAGTAGCTACTGCCAAAACAGACTGAAGGAAGCACTACCAATTTTGTGAAGTATAAACGGCAATGTGTTCACTTGGCGTTGGTGACAGCTGGTGTGGATTGACTTCACTGTCCTGCTTATAAGGTGAAAGTCACCAGTAAGCCTTAAGCGTCAGGTTGCAGCAGGTTTGAACATTTAAGTTTGCATCTCTGTTGCTTTATGGGACTTTCTGGCCTTGTTCCTGTGTGGTAAAAATGCAGTGTGGTCAAACTTAGTATCCAGCTGCCAAAACAGAGAACTCTGATCGTCGATACCTTGCTGACAACGGAATGGAGAGCATGTCAAAAACCAAAGGACTCATCAAACGGACCTGGCAAGGCCGGCAAACAATTTTGTGGCATCTCTTCACTTTTCAACTCCAAGTGTCTGGCGAACTGCTGCAGAAGCTATGCGCCGCGCCAATTCCTGAAACCCATGCAAATATCAGATATAGAACTTGCGGAAATTCTGCAAAAGGTCCATAGCCAAAAGCACAATGGAGACTTTGGGTTGCAGGAAGCGCACACCAAATGCGGGGTGAAGAACATCATTAGGAACATGCATTTGCTTTGGTTAGTGTGTGTCATGATCGAATTCTCGTACGGCGGATGATAATCTCACATTTCATGGAAGTTTTGTTTTGCGTACTTGTTTGCAAGGCTTGGCGGTGCATTTGTTTCTCCAAGTAGGGAATAAGCGGAAGCGAAATGTACATGATGGTCCTCGTCTTTGCACTTCAGCAAAGTCTCCTCAAACAAAATTCAGATTTGACCCCTGTCCTGACGTGTGGAACTTCATCGTTGCACTCCAACAAGTTGGATCTGTCAAGCACCACCTACTGCCTGCTTTCCACTCTGAGCACCTTGCCGCGACATCTTTGGCTCCTTTAGCCCTCAATGCCTCTGCAAACAAGGCAGCAAGTCGTGGCCACAATCCCTGGACCCCGTGATGAATCGCAATACACTAATCGTGGACATGACATTCAGCAAAATTGCACCACATTGCACCAGCAAATGCAGCTCCGACATCATATATGCAAAAGATTCCAGAACTTATTATAACTTATGGACAATGCTACTACCATCTGTTACCTATCCCCTCATCATGCGAACTTTAAACCATCCGTGCAGGCGTAGCTGTCCAGAAGTCACCCCTTTCCGCGAGTCCGTGCCGGTCAGTCCCCTGCCTCGACAACATCGCCCCGTGCCAGGGACTTCCGCGCGGCATGTCCCAGCTGAGTAGGGCTGTAAGCATCGAGACCTGAGGTCGGTGTCAGAGTTGACTGGCAAGAAATACAGTGCAATACGGCAATACAAAGGTAATTTATGTAATTTAATACAAACATCCAGGCAAAGATCTCCGAAAAAATCATCACAGCTCTGCGTTCAATAGCAGGACTTTCTTCATCTCTGACTTCCTCTAGCTATCGATTTTCCGGCAGCTGCAGAATACTTGGTAGAGGTGGGCATCGCGTTGTCTTCCTAGTTTCATCTGATCATCTCAAGAAAAGATGAGCCACTTCGTCGGCAAAATGATGCTTAGTGAAGGCTGGTCCAGTGTAGATGAGCAGTCACAAATCGAAGACGAATCACAGACACCCTTTTCATCCCTTTTACAGCTCTTCGTTGTTGGTGCCGAGTCACCATGATAGCATGGTTGTCACCAGTTGTGTGCAAGACTGCACTTTGCAAGTCTATTCGTCAGTGCAAAACATGGACTTCAGAGGGGCCCTATTTTCTAAGACGCCCAAACTCCAAAATGACACACAAAGATTTGTACAAGTGCACCATACACGACCCTGAAGCACTTAGGCAAATACCAAGTCTTCACGTTGTGATTTGAGTACCAAGTCGTGTGACTTATCACTACAATATCACTAATATTACATAATATTACCAGATAGCACGAGATCAAAATGTAGCGATTCATGGGGTGTGCGAGGTCGTGATCTAAAGACTGTCAACCAGGTCCTTTGCCTTGTCTGGCTTTGAGGACTGGGTGCTGCAAAACAGGCACATATAGGCTCGACATGTCTAAAGCACGACGCCTGCGGTAGCATTCCTTCTTCAAGATTGTTCAAGCACAATGCTATGGAGAATTACAGAATAACCAGTGAGCTTTTTGCATTGCAACTTCTTAAAAATCATCAGTTGATCGTCGATCCTCGTGCCCAAATTCAAAACGTGGTGCCAGCAACAGGGACAGATCAAAGACGAGCCAAGCTCATGTTATGTCAGCCCAGTCAGCCATTGGTTCAGGTCAGCCTTAAAGATTTTATAGCGCAATGGAGTGGTGCTTCTGCCGGCATCTTTGACAGGTCAAGAGTTCACGGACGCCATCCCTCAGCCCAGCGAAAGCGCATTACAACAAAGCTGCATTTGTCTGATAGCAAGATCCACTAAAAAGACACAACAATGAAACCATATGAAACCTGTGTTGTCCACGTCATTCAACAGTGATGCAGTGATGCATGCAAAAAGCCTGGACAATGCGGTGACATCTTGTGGCCAAGGCTCTGAATGGCATCTCGATTGCGCGCGAAGGCAATGGCGGCAAGAATGATGCCAACGCCTTCGAGGCCAATGATGCCAAAGAGGGCCAGAATTCGCCTTGCGACGTGTTGGAAATACAATGAGCACAGTGAATACCAGAGGCAGAATGTGTCGAACATTGCGCTGTCGGCATCCCACAGCCCCATGGCACCAATAGCCCTCTGTAGCAAGATCTCTGCCAAGTCGCAACTGGTAAGAGCTGATCTGGAAAGCTTGAGAGACCTGTGATGCGACAGTGCGAAGCACATCTTCTACCTGGTAAATCATTGCAGGTGTTAAGACTTTTAAGATGTGTCAAGCTTCAAGCAATCTCATAACAGTCATAACATGGCAAAAAAAAAACTCCGAACCTCCGAGGCAACTTTCCAGGCCACTACAAAGGCCCCCAGAGCGCCAGTCACCATGGGGAGAGTCCTGGAAGGACTTAGTCATTTGAGCGACCAAAATGCAGAAGGACTTGGTTGGGCATGTAGAAAACCAAATTCATTTCAGAAGGGATCTCTGCATGTTCTGATTTGTCTTGCTTGCAACTCTCATATCATGTGGACACTCCGTCCTTTTCACCACCGCAGAAAAGAGCATTTGAGTGAGTGCCAACAGGCCGTAGATGACCCACAACCACCAGTCTTGTCTGATAGGGATCTGCAAAACGAAGTGGATAGTGATAAAGAAGGTCCTCAAATTGGTCCACAGGATCGTGTGCAACGAACACACACATCCAACAAACAAGTCCAAATGACACAGCCTTTGTGACCGGCTGAGAATGGGACACTCCAACCACACCGGTTGCCCATGTCTTCAGTTCTTCCAGCCACTCCTTAGTTGTGACAGGCTTTCTGCAAACCCACTCCAGTGCACTAGGTCACTAAGTGACTGTTTCTATGAGTTTTTTCACTCACCTGAAATCAAAAAGGGTCAGTAGACATCAGTAGACCTTAACTTGACTTTTGACACGAGAGAATCCCATGACATTTGTTTCATCCCAGATTCTTCCTGCTTCTCAACGGCCAAAGACCAGGCAACCAGGGCGATCCATTGCACTGAGGTGAAGATCAAGAAGAACCATTTGAAGAAGTTCACAGCATCTGAGGGAATGAGGGAATCATCGCAACAAAGTGCAACTCACAACTGCAGATAAGCCGGCCATGGAGTCACATCATTCATGTGGTTCAGGCCTAATCCTCCTTGGGTTGGTAGAGTGTTGACCAACGCATAGACCATCACCACCTCGGAAGATGTTGGTGTGCTGAATCTATCAGGATGTGCATGTTTTTGCGGGGCAATATGGATCGGATCTACTGCATTCATGTCAAGTAAGACCCCCAAAGTGGTACAAAAGTTACCTCTACAACCTGTTGTGTTCATCTATAATCTGTAGGTGTATCTGCATATGTCTACTTTATGTAGACCATCAAAAGTCATCATCTGTGAATAAGCTGAAACATGGAGTCCTGTCGAGGTGTGTCGTCAAATCCTGTGCTTCGGACAATTGCCACTATTCCTCCGAAGATATTGAAGAAAAGGCCAGGCCTAGGCTGGAGTTGATATCTGTGCACTGCTCCATCCGTTAAGCACTCTGGCTACTCAAGCTTTGGCCTAGTTGGCCTAGTTCAACTTCAGCCCTTCTGTAGTTTCAAAATTCGGACACAAGTGCACTGGTAGAGCAGTAGACTGCCCACTTTCCAAATTATGTAAGTACTATGTTTCTGCCCGTCTGGAAAGTTTGCTGTCTTCACCGAAGGGCATCTTCTTGCGGATGAGCACCACGAAGGAGAGAATGAGCATCGGCACGGCCGCCATGAAGATCACACCCCAGATGCTTTCAACGCTTGGACCTGCACATCACTGAAATCTCACCACTGGATATGACATCATGTTGTTACTATCCGCAAGAAGAGGACATTCGGAATGAACATGTGACATCAGTGATGTTCGAGGTTATGTCACAAAATGTCCAGGTTCAATCGGTTCAATTGATAAAACTTCAATTTCAGCAGCAAACGATGCAACGATGCAACGATGCAACGATGCAAGGTGAAGCGATGCAGAAGCTCTGCCTGGCAGCACGGAAGATACTCCTCCGAGGTCTCCAGTCCCGCATGCTGATTCGCTTTGTTTCAGCGTGGACCATGCATCGCAAGTGTCACCTGCAAAAAAAACTCAACGCCAGAAAATCATGCATCCAAATCATCCAAAAACCACAATCTAAAACATGCATCATGAATTGATCCCTTTTTGGGCCCTCAATTTCAATGATGACACTTGATTAATCGAACGACTCTTGAACACACAATGCAAACCTCAAGATGAACAAAATGAACATTGATGCTAAACTTGGAGAAAATAATCGAAAAAGTGTCCTTTAGGTCCTAAGGCATCCGGTGTCCAAAAGACCTTGGCCAGCCTCGAAGGTCTGTGTAGTCCGTTCCAGTGCTGGAGGAGAAGATGGTGCTCACGTAGCCATACCACCCAGTGCACGGGTCCATGCCTCCACACCAAGTCACTTTGAGTCACTGCATATCAAATAATAATACTTAACAAACGCAGGGAACCATAAAATCCAAACACACTTTCAAAAATTGGAGATGCAGGCTGCACAACCTTCCCGTGTCCTTCTCAAACTTGCTCAAACCACAATTGGTGTGTGTCTGGGCTTATTGAATAAAGTGTGCTTTGTTACCAATTTCACCTCACGCAAGGACTTCCTTGCCAATGGCTGATGAGGCAGTTCAACTATCATTTAGGTCCTGTATAAGTTATAAGTTATAAGAATCAAATTCTTGTCAGGAAACACTCGCTCCGAACACGAGCTACCCAGAAACACATGCATCTGTCTGAGGCCCAGACAATTTCGATTGACCTCTCTCAGCAACGCTTGGGACGAAACTATGACATGCAACAAGCTACAATTGTCTGTTCACTCCCATCCAACTGTTCATTTGATGCAGCTTCTGAAAGAAATATCTGGTTTGGTGCTCCACTGAACAGAACTCCACACTTGGCAATCCGCCTACACTGATCCGGGCATTTGCATCTGAAGTCTTACAACAATTCCGATTCTCAAGAATGAATTCTTCTGCCATGAGATCAAGAGTCGGAAACACCAACAGAACACGCACAGCCATCAACCCACGAATACTAGCCTTGTAGTACATGACGTCGTTCTCAACCCAGATTCCTTGGACTACGTCTCCTCTGCGGACTTGAGTCATCTTCAAAACCAAATCACAATCAGCGATAGGTCCAATGATCATTGCCATAAATATCTCTTGCCATTTGGCTCATCTTGCTCTTGAGGACTTGATGCTGATTCGTCAGAAGCAAGTTCTGGAAGTCAACAGACGAAGCGTCGAGCATGTCACTGCAAGTCCTCCAACGTAGGAGAGGGCCGCTTGACGATTGCTCAAGACGCCGTTGTTTTCCTCTATGCTGTAGATCCTGTCAAGCACAACTCGCTCGCTTCTCAACACTGCTCTGATTACATCTGTCCATCTCCCAGTCAATGTCTTGGCTGGTTCCTGCTCACTCGACATCCTGAGATATCACGCGCTGGTCTTGTATAACTTCATCCTGTATCCGTGCAGGTTTGTAGAAAGGACCGAAAGTGTGCTGAAAAAAACAGAACGAAAGGTGCAAAATGTCACAGTCAGCTCCCACAAGTTGTTGGGTGGGAGGTTTGCTGGTGGAACTCCCTGGTCCTATCATCTACAAAAAAGAGCTTTGACCTCGGCGTGAGATCCAAAGCAAGGCCGTTCACAGTGTAGAAAACCACTTCTGAAACGCCGGAGGGTCATATTTTGCAGGTTCAATCCGGATTACACGCCCTTTTGCCCTTTTTCTGACGGTGCATTGACTCAGCCCCCTGCTGAAATGTCGTCAAGGCCAATCCACGGTTGCTCACCTCAATGGTTTTTCCAAGTTTTGTTTGGTTTTGGCTTGCCTTGAGAGGGTTGATGTAGCTGCACATGGCTTTGCAAAATGGTCTTGCAAACTCCCACATCACAATGGTCTTTCTGACAGTAGATACACACCTATCACACCTAATATTGCTCTGATCCCACCATAGAGGGGTCTAGCGCTGCGTTTCGTACTCAAACCCAAGCGAGCACGAATACCAGCACAATGCCCATGAATGCTTGGTGTGTCTCCATTATCTCTTTTTATTTCTCACTAGTGCAAACCGCTCAAAAGGTCTGCCACGCCACTTGCACTGTCTGACCACCAGTGACCCGCAGAAATCGACTTTCTCCATTCACTCTGCCATTGAAGAACATGCTGCCTGCAAAGGCAGCTTGGCAGTAAAAATGTGGTGCAAGTGTCTGAGGCTGGGTACAAAGAACAGCCTTGTAGATTTGTAGACATACATCCCGCTAGTGTGGTGCCAATACTGGTAAAACGATGATTTGTCCTCTGTCACTAGTCATTAGGTCAAACATCCAGTAAAATTGCAGGTTTCTGCTTACTCACACACTGCCCAATTAAAGCATTCAATTTTTTCGTTAACTCAAAGCGTGACGTTGATTTTCACTGTTCTAGCTCTACGAGGAGGTCTGTGCATGAGGTCTTGACTTTGTTCCTCAAGGTCCAGGAAGGTGTTGCGCACCACCAACCTGGTTGGATCTGGCTCAGGCTGCCCCGAATGTTCTGCTCCGTCGGCTTGGTGGGTTTGTTCCTGTGGATTGAACTTTGCTTCTGCATCTTCGTGAATGCTTGGCGCGTAGGTGCCGCCGTTGGCGCGACGGTATGCAGCTTTGGCCAGCGGGACAACCTCCGCGAAACGGTTTCTCAAGAGCTCCCAGTCTGTTCGGCGGACAATGCACTGGTAAGAAACCAGCTCACGCCCGTCCAAGGTATCGAATGCCTCGATGTCCTCGCCGATTGCGTTGAGCAAAATCTTGACATACTCGACCAAGTGAAATCTTCTCTTTCGAGGGTTGTGCTCTTGCTGAGTCTTGTAGCGTCGCCAGTGTGGCAAACCCAGTCGCTGTCCAGCGTCAATGGTGACTAAAGGTTCTCTGCTGCACGGCATCATGGGCAAGCCACGCTTGAAGCTTTGAATGGATAGGACCACGTAGAACTTCTCATCAATCTCACGCAGCTTCTGAATGTTCGGTCGATTCAGAAACCACTGCGTTGTGTTGTGCACAGCTTCAAGGACTTTGCGAAAATGAAATGTGGCCCAGCTGGCAAACTTGTCCTGCATAATACGGAAACAACCACAACGTTGAACTCGCCCTTTGTCGTCTCTGGTCGAATCACCATAATTCCATGAAACGTCTGGCCACCGTGCCAACATGCAATAGCGCTGTCACCTTCCGAAGGACAGTCTCGACGAACCTTCTGATGCACTGCAATGGGACATACGGCATCGTGAAAGAAATAGTGCGGAAAGGCCGTCAATGGATTCGAGATGTCACCAAAGAGCACGTTGCACAATCGGAAAAGAAAACTGCACGTTCGGCCCTCCAGAATCGCTTCACCCGGCGCAACAAATTCTGATCGGTTGATCAGTGTCTCGGCTGCAACTCCTTTCACTCCACTTTCCGCGGCTCGAACTTCTGGCCTTACGATCAAGTTGCTGGTCTTTTCTGGGGCATCCTGGATTTGAATGTTTTTGAGGTCAAACTTGATAAGATGGCCTCCCCACGGGCAACTTCGATGCCACAATTGAGCATTCGGCCTAGCCAAAGCCGGAGACCAGGACACTGGCGTCAAGACCTCGGGCATCGCCTGAAACCACTCGTCCACAGCTAGCGGAGCAATTAAAGGAGCAGACTCCATTCTGCTCAAAGCGCGCAAGGGTAGAATAGAAGCAGCGGTGCTGACTCACTGACATTTGAGCCAAAATGGCTACGGTAATTAAATGCAGGCAGGAAAATTGGTTTGGCGCGAACCCCAGTATCTCTGAGCTTGCAGGAGCAAGCCGGAGCAATCACAACCACAACCACAACCAACCAGAAGGCAGCCAACCAACCACAGGAACATACGGAAAGCTACAGAAAGTTCTAACAGAAAGACAATCTTTCTCCAACCTTTTTCCAACCTTTTTCCCAACCTTTCCAGGGCCAGGCCTCCAAATGTGATGTAATCCGTTCCGTCGTAGAGCCCAGCGCTCCGGGCCCAAGTTCTCAGAGAGGGAGTGGCGTTGCTGGGTAGCAAGTCTTGCAGGCCTGTCCCAGGTGTCGCTGTCAGCGACTGCAACCAGTGTTTCGGGTTCCGTTTCGTGACTATGGGATCATATATATATATATATATATGTCTTGAAGTCCACCCGCAGCTGATGCAGTGCCCTTTTTCTCGGGGCACAGCTGGATCTATTGTTGGCCTGCTTGCACGGCTGAAAGCTGGAAGGAAACTGCTGCTGCTGCTGCTGGTGGCAAATCTATGCATGAGAAGTGAAGTGGGTCCACTTGCTAGCACCACCGAGCAACCGGTCTCCGGTGTCGGGGAGCACAAGTTCTCACTTAACTTCCGCAAGCAATGGTCAGCCTAGCAAAGTATTCACAACTAGAGTATTCCAATCCTTCCAAACCCTCAAGGGCACAGGAGTGCCCACCTCACACGACTCGAAGGCGTGTGGGGTGGCGAACGGCTGGCTGTGTCCGTGGCAAGTGCCTGCCCATGAGAGCACCTAGACATGTGAAAATTAAATGAAGCATGATTGAACTAAAGGAGTAGTGCTGTTGGATCTCAAAAGCATGCATGGGATGTTGAGGCGGTGCTCCCTGAGGCACGGGCTGCGTGAGCAGACTGGCTTCCAAATTAGCTGCTACTTCGTCCAGTATAGCGTCAATTACTATAATCACAAGTCCAAAACTGCGACGAAGCACTAATCGGATGCCCATGGTCAAACTCTTGGCCATGACCACATAAAAGAGTGGCCTCGAAATCAACATGCGTGCCAAAAGTGCTAAAAAGGTGAACAGCACAGCTTTGCCTTTTGCTTTGGCAAGGCCCCACATTAGCCACTCAGCTCCCATTTTTCGCCAAGTCCTTGATGCTGTCTGCGGTTGGGCTGGACGGCTTCCCAAGGCTTTCTCACTCATCATCCTCTTCGCATATTGGCAGAACCTGGGATCTTGTTTGTAGGACTTGGCTGCCCTTCGTAGGTCCTCCCAACTGACTTCGGGATACCGGGCACCTTTCAAGGGTCCCGCACTGACTACCACCTTGCGAAACTGCTTCTGCCAGTCTTCCCCAGGCCCTAGCTCCGCCGATGGCATGGCTTGGACTTGGGATGGTAGAAATTCGGTCCTAAGGAGATTCTCTTCAGGCACCTGATCAGCCAGAAAAGCAGGCAGGTGTACCAAGAAATGAAATCGCATGAGGAACTTCTTCAACTGCAGGGCAATGGTGGGCGCGATTGAGAGCGTGATTTGTTGGGCTCTGGCAACTTGTATATAATGCTCTAACGATCTCATGTGAGCCCAACGTCCTAAAAATCTTACTCTGCTGACTTCGATCCCCTGGTCAACTAACCAGGTTGCTCCCCCCGCACGCAGGGAAGCGGGTGACAGTCGTAGTGATTCTATGTTGAGACTGCGGCACACTGATTTGAACATGCTACGAAAACGATGAGGAGTACTGTTCCACAATGCTGCTTCTGGCTGACGTTCACTTTTGAGCCACGCTAACCAGTTTGCTGCATCAGGGTGGCGAATCTCGACGTAGTGTTGGATCCCCCTGTCTAGCATTCTTAGGTCGAGCAATCCTAACAACTGAGAAGGCACTTCCTAAAGACATTGAATTTGGAGGCACCACATCTGATGCCCTCAAGTTCAGAAGCTCACCAGGTCTCAGCAGTCCATAAAATCCAGTGAGCACCATAACCGCCAGAGCCAGCCATCGTCTCGCTTCACTTCTGCTATCCGACTTTTCAGAGTTGAGAACTGCTTGACATGTGATGGCCATGAGCAATGTCATCGGTACAGGTGCTCTAAAACTGGAGGGCTGCTGCTCTTCCCATGACTTGATAGCGTCCCACGACGCTTGCAACTTGCGACGCAAGCGCGGTCGCATGATCTGAAAACTGAGCATGGCGTGCTTAGCTATTCGTAGTCCAGATTTCGATGGCTTGTCATGCAAGTGTTTGATAAACTGCTCTAACACCTCATCCACCACACTGGCTTTTTGATGGATCACTGACTCCCAGATTACCTCAACTTCGGTGAGATAGCTCTGAAGAGCTTGACATCCTTCCAGAAGCCGTTTCCTGTAGGCTGGGCTGTACTTTCCCCAGCGCAGCTTTTCAGCACCGGCAGTTCGCGGCTGTACCAACCAGGCAGGCATGCAGAACCATGCAGGAGGGAGAAAATAAAAAACTGAGTCCAAACACTTGAAAAAACTGCTCTCTTATGTAACCCCTATTTGAATGCTAGTTCGAAGGCTTTTGCATATGCCGTGCACAGTGCTTGTGGGTAGCTTCCAGCTAGGTGTGAACGTCTCTACCACTTGCCTTGAACCTTGACTCCTCCAAGCACTGCGACATGTGTGTGGTCCTTTTGACACCTGAGACCCAATCTGCTGAGGTTTGGCATGGTCCCCAGGAATCTTGTTGGTTTCTTAGCTAGCCCCAAATCTCCATCGCTATCAGGTATCATGAGCCCAAAACGACATTGGTCAAGATCTATGCTGCTACAAGAACACTTAGCTGCAACCTGCTGCATTCGAGGGGTCTTCCAAGCAAAAGAGGAAAGAGGATTTTCAAGCGTAAAGAAGGAACCATGTGCATGCAAGAGTTCGCAAAGGTGCAGGGTCCGACAAAGTATCTCATTTCCATCACGCTCACGCTGGAGAGGGTTGTCACCCAGTGGTTGTTTATGGGTGCGTGTGCCTTTATTCATATTCTGCATGATGCTAAACGAACCACAAGGGAAACCAAAATGCCATAGCTGCTTGGGTTGACATGCTTCTTGACAAAGCCTGTCAAATACCTTATCATCCGCAATGTCATGTGAAGCTACTGGTTTTCCTGCTTTCATTAGTTCAATTGGAGGTTTCACCTTAAACATCCCTCTGTGACGAAAAGTTTTTGTAAGGTGTGCATTCCCCGCAAAGATTTCCCTGAAGCTCCAGTGCTTGGCGGCTGGATGAGAGGACAGGCTAGCTTTCTTGTTTTGGTCTCCAAATTGCTGCTGGTCTAGCACTGACTGGCTATTAGGTTTGACGGCCGGTCGGACGCTGTCTTGGCGCTCGACATGCCTCCAGATCTCCCTGTTGGACCGCCTGGTTCGATATTCTTCCAAATTATCACCTAGCACGTCAACGGCTATTTGACTAGGTACTTCAGGTGGTTCAGGAATCCTACGACATCTAGAGGGGTGATCTGCTGGATTGGCACCTTACCTAACCCAAACTATATGGAGGGACTTACGCCCCGCAAGGGTCCAACCGAGTGACTCTCTCAGCAACCTGTTCAGATTGCGAGCTGATGAACGGCCTTTCGACCAGGCTCCAGCCGCTGCTCTCGAGTCGCAGAGTAAAACGCACCTGAGTGGTTGCACAGTCTTTTCAACAACGTCTCTGAGCTCTCTCTGTATCATCCGTGTTTCTAGGATGTTTATATGTTGTTTGTGACTGAAGTGACATGTTTCGGTTTGGTTCCATGGCAAACTCAAGAGGAGCGATTCCAATTCTTCAGGAGCCTGGTGCATGCTGCATGGCGGCTCCACCTGGCCTTTAGCCCAATCTAGCCGGACGTGTTCGCCTTTGTGTTCTGCAAACCTAAAAAGAGTTTGGGTTATTGGTGGTGTCACAATCGTGGCAGCTCTGCCTCCGTGGGTGGTCGACGCATCACTGGCTCCGATTCTGCAAGAAACATTCCAGCGCACATTAGTGTGGCAAAGGGGAAGGAGAAGTGCACAAGACAACAACTCTTCTTTGACACTTGTGGGCAGGGCTTTCCTATCACCATCTTTGATACGCTCTATCCAAATGAAGGTCTCTTGCAACAAGCACATCATCAATCTCCTGTGCATGAAGGGATGCACTAGGAGCCCTGTGATGCCCTGCAACAATTTTCGTGTGACCACCGGTAGCTTGCACACTCTAACTAGTAGTGAAGCTAGTTGCTGCAGCTTGAATCGAGGAGCTCCTACACGCCCACGACGGCTTTCTACCTCTGTGCCCCAAGCAACAAAAGTTGATTGTTTATCAAAGGCTTTATGGGCCGAAGTAGGTATGCCATGGTTTGAGTACTGCTCTCTGCTTTGTTGCATGATCACTTCATCCCTGAACTTTTGATTTTTGTTACGGTACTTCCTTGAGGGGAGAATCTGAGTGACTATATGATCATCTATGTACAAGCCTTCAAGAGTGTGTGAAGCCGGTAGGGGCTGTTTGAACTCTATACATTCTCCAGGCTGCATACACAAACCATCCTGCAGAATCTCAAAATGGACTTGCTGAGCTATGTCAACAGCATTCAAATCACCCATCGCAACAACACGGAAACTCAAGATATAACTCTCACCCTTCTTTCCCCCGTAGGCTTCGTAACCTTCCCCATCAAAGCACTGACCTACGGCATTACGAGGCAACCACTGCTGATTATGCTGGAGGAGATAGAAGTAGTTACTAAGGTCATCCCCACTACCCCTTATTGAAAATCCCTTTGGAACAATGAGCAGTGAACCGTGTGGCAGTCTGGCCCATACTAGCCTGCGTTCAAGCTCGTTAAAAGGCCGTCGATCCAGGATGATCCGATCGCTTTCGGCTTTGTGATCGACTGCAAAAAGCCCACCTGAAATGATCCTTCCCTCACTGTCCCTTAGGGCTAAGCTTTCGGGGAGTAGTGTGGCAACCCCACTTTCTAACAGCTTGTGGTTCACCGCAACCAGGTCATCCGGCTCAACTCGGAAACAGCCTTTGGTCGGCTTGGGAGGCGCCAGGTTGTGAGGCACTGTGGATGGCATCTCTTGAAATGCCTTTCGATGCTCTCCCTTCAAAAACTGCTCAGGGCTGATGATGCCGGCTTTCTGAGGCAGGGACATTCTCTCTGGTTTCACATTCTTTGCTACTCTCGCTAGCTTATCTATAGCTTGGCTACTGGAGTAATCTGAATTACGGACTATGTTAACTAATTCACTTAATTTTAATATGCCGCGGCTCAAAGGTTCTGAACTCTGGAGGCGTACATATCTATTAATTTCGTCATGCATGTAGCCGGCATATGCAGCATGTGAGGACGTCCAAGGAGTGCAGACTGCCCTATCTAGGAAGCGCTGCTGGTCGAGTCTCTTGAAAGGTGAACCACCTTCCAAAAAGGTGAAATACGCCCACATGATTTCGACCAGATTCCAAGAAACTGCCCGGCCTCGCCTCCTCGCTCGTCTGCGAGCGCCCTTGGACTTGCCTTCAATGCAAGCCACTAGCAGGGACGGAAAAAGTGGTGCCTTCTGCTCTGATGCAGAAGGTGTCATAGGCCCCGACCTCCGGTTCAAATCGGAGGACTTGATCAATCTCCAAAATCTGCTAAAGGCACCATTACCGGCCTCTAGGCTTTGGACAACTTCTAAAAAAGGTGAGCTGCATTCTGGCTCAGAAGCTGCTCTATTCAGGCATCGGTCTGCTCCTTGTCTTTGTTCTTGTCCTTGCCTTTCTGGGAGCGCTTGTTGCCTTTGCCCTCTCTGTTGGGTTCCGGTTCCTCTTGGTCGCCTTTGCCAAAGCCTTTTCCCCGTAGATTCTGTGTCGTTTTTGCGAGCTCGCTCATGGATTTCAGATAGCTCGTCACGTGCTGTAAGCTTTGTGGATCTCCGCCAAAAAGCTTCTTCTCGAAGGGATCTTCCACGTGAGTGAGCAGCCATCCAATCTGCCAGCTCCCATTGTCCAGTGAAGTCTGATGAAGTGCTTGAAGTGTCAAAACCGCTCTTCGAGCTGCCCTTTCGGGTTCCTCTCTTAGGAGCTCCTCCAATATCACACTCACCAGATAGTGGCACCGTTGCAGACTTCGGTGCTTGCCCCACTGAATCCGACGGTTGTAGTCTACGAGCCTGAAAGGCTTCTCCTGAGCCCCCAACTCTTCCTGCAGAGAGTGCACGTAGCGCTTGACGTGCTTCACAGGATTCCGAAACATCTTTTTCTTTGAACCTTGGTAATCCTTCACAGCTCTTGAGTGGCCCTTCACGACTTGTCGAAGTAGCCCTTGTCGCTCTCGCTCGAAGAACTGCTGCGGCTTGAACTTCGGGTCGATCTTCGCCTTCGGCCTTTCCGTGAACTGCCCTGCTAATTCTGTGCTATCTGCAAGGCCAGGAGCCCTTGGAGCGGATCTGAGCTGCTGGCTGCGGCCTTCAACAAGGTGTCCTCTGAAAGACCCTTGTCTTTTGAGGTGTCTCGCCTTGAATCCTTGTGTTTCCTCTCTATCATGGCAAAGCGGCTTCTTTTCTTCTTGGTGAAGGGACTGTCCGAATCCTCCTGCCTTTCTTTCACGACGGCGGTGGTACCAGACCCGAGCCATTTCTTGCGGAGTGCGGCTGCTAGGTCGGTCTCCTCCTCTGAGCTGCCGCTTGAACTTGTGCTTGAAGCTCTCTTCTCCCTTGACTTCTTCTTCTTCTTCTTCACAGCTCGAGGTCTTGGCTGATCTGAGGCAGTGGCGAACGTCAGTTCGCCCTCTGAATGAACTGCCGTCAACCCGGCTTTCAGAAGTTCCTTGAGGTCGGCTGCAAGCTCTTTGCATGCCTCTGGGGCTCCCCCCAGTAGTTTGTCGAAGGGAGCTTCCACCAAGCAGAAAATGCCCTCGTCGTTCTCGATGTGGCTGAGCTCGGATTTCTCGATCTGCCCTTGAGCATCGCACTAAGCATTGAAGCCACTCGTTCTCCAGAGATACCACTAAAGCTTCGCGCCAACGCGGCGTCTCAAAACCCTCAGCGAGCTTCCGGAAACCCCGGCTGCCAGCTTTCAAGGTCATAGGTGAAGCTCCAGCCAAAAATGCGATTGCGCAGACTTTCTTGCAGATCAAAACCTTCTGCCCTTGCTTTGAAAATCTCTGCCGCTTCCTCACGCGAATAACACCTCCTGAAAGCAATCCCTTCAAAGATTCCACGGTGAAGGGCCAAAATTGCAGCGTAGGCTGTGTTGTCAAAACCCCAATGGATGCCAGCTATTCTCCAACGCCCAATGCCTGGGATATGCCAGACAGCGTACCACCTGATCTCGTTGTGGCACAGACGCTCAGGAGGTTCCAGACCTTCGGATCCAAAGTAGGCTCCAAGCCTTGCAGTTGGTCCTAAGATGCCGGCGTTTGGACACCTGGAGTTTGGTACAACCCACAGCTGAAGTCTCGGCCCTGGATTGGTGCTCTCAGAAGTGGTGCTGACACCGTCTTCCTGTTCTGGTTCTTCTGCTTCAGCAACCACGCCAGCAGGCACTAGCTCAAGCACCTGGCGAGGATGATTGCACCTGGCACAACAGGTGAGTTGCAACCTTGCAAGGGGAACTTGACCCATGAAGGCTGCGGGTCAGTCAAACATGAGTGTGGCATATATATATATATATCTATATATAGATATATATATATATATATCCGCCGACCCCGGCCGACGCAAGGGGGAGCGCGTAAGGGAAAAAGAGGTACTGCACTGCTATTACTACTACTACTACGACGACTACTACTACGACTACTACTACGACTTGGTGGCTTCTTCGTCCTTCACTGCCATGCTGTAAATTGAAGAGCTAGTTGAAGAGCTAGTTCTCGGGAGGCCCGAGGCTGGAGCACCTGAAAGGTGACGTTATATATATATATATGGTTGTTGATCAAAATGCCTTTATCCCGGGACGGCCATTCTTCGCGAATAAAAATTTTACTTTCGCGAAACTTTCGCAAACTCCATGTTTATCTTTCGCGGGGCCCATGTTGGCCAACAACACCTCTTATGAAGATTCGTTCACCACCTGCCAAATTACGCCAGAGAATCACGGATCACTTCTTGGTAGCCTTTTAAACATGCAGCTAGCATCACGGAATCCCTTCTCAGGACAGTGATTTTTTGCAAAATTTACTGGCCCACCCCCTTCAACATGCACTTTGACTTTCGCCCGCTCTTTCGCATAACTTTCGCGGAACTTTCGCGAAAATATCCCTATTCACAGACCCCGGCCATCAGCAGGGGGTGTACTGAAGGAAAAACGAAGACCAGGGGCCTTGGTGTTTGGCTCTCGCAAAGCCTTACTTTTGGAAACTTGGCTACTGCTACTCGCATTCTCTGGTGCCCTTCTCCTGCCAGACCCTGGGCGGCAGTGGGTGGCAGCCCTTTACATATAACGATTAGAATATCCAACTTTCGCGAAACTTTCGCGAAACAAAATTTTACTTTCGCGAACTCGAAAAAAAAACTTTCGCGAGGGTTTCCAACATAACATGCACGGCTTTCGCAATTAAAACTCCTTACAAGGACCTTTAGATCAACCATCATATATATATATATATCCGCCGACCCCGGCCGACGCAAGGGGGAGCGCGTAAGGGAAGAAGATGGAAGAAAAGGACTTGCAGCAGCCAGCAGGCATACTTGCAGCAGCCAGCAGGCATGTGAGGCAGCAGCAGCAGCACCAGCAGCAGCATTGAGCAAGAGCAACAGCAACAGAACTAGCAACAGCAACAGCAGCAACAACAACAACAACAAGAACAACAAGAACAACAACAACAACAACAACAACCACAACCAACAAGAACAAGAACAACAACAACCACAAAGACAAATATAAACCCAAACAACAACAAACAACAATAACAAACAACACCAAACAACAACAAACAACAAGAAACAACAACCAACAACAACAAACCATGACCCTTTGCCGGGGGACTCTGTTGGGTCCCCCTCCCACCGGTCACGTACCTCGATTCCTTGACTCCGGGGTTTTTGTTTCACCGGTGGGGGGTCCTTCCCGGAGTCTCCTCGAAGTACGTGGGGCTCCTTGGGTTGCCCTTCCCGCCCGCCCTTTTTTTGGGTTCATGGTTGGTGGCTTCTTCGTCCTTCACTGCCATGGTGTTTCAGGCTGGCGGGTCCGGCGTTTTGGCGTGTCAGAAGCTGTAAGTTGAAGAGGTAGTTGAAGTGCTAGGTCTCTAGGATTTCAGAAGGGACGTTAGGGAGTTTTTTGGTGCGATTTGGTGGCTTCTTCGTCCTTCACTGCCTGGTGTTTCAGGCTGGTGGGTCTGGCGTTTTGGTGGCTCAGAAGTTGTAAGTTGAAGAGCTAGTTGAAGAGCTAGGTCTCTAGGATTTCAGAAGGGACGTTAGGGAGTTTTTTGGTGCGATTGCTTCCCTGCCATGGTGTTTCAGGCTGGCGGGTCCGGCGTTTTGGTGGCTCAGAAGCTGTAAGTTGAATAGCTAGTTGAAGAGCTAGTTCTCTAGGATTTCAGAAGGGACGAGTTTTTTGATGCGATTTGGCGGCTTCTTCGTCCTTCAGTGCCATGGTGTTTCAGGCTGGCGGGTCCGGCGTTTTGGCGGATCAGAAGCTGTAACGGCGGCTCAGAAGCTGTAAGTTGAAGAGCTAGTTGAAGAGCTAGCTCGCTAGGATTTCAGAAGGGACGTTAGGGAGTTTTTTGGTTCGATTTGGTGACTTCTTCGTCCTTCAGTGCCATGGTGTTTCAGGCTGGCAGGTTCGGCGTTTTGGTGGCTCAGAAGGCAGGCACATCAGGGACTTCAGTGTTTTTGGCGGCTCAGACGCTGTAAGTTGAAGAGCTAGTTGAAGAGCTAGTTCTCTAGGATTTCAGAAGGGACGTTAGGGAGTTTTTTGGTGCGATTTGGTGGCTTCTTCGTCCTTCACTGCCTGGTGTTTCAGGCTGGCGGGTCCGGCGTTTTGGCGGCTCAGAAGCTGTAAGTTGAAGAGCTAGTTGAAGAGCTAGGTCTCTAGGATTTCAGAATGGACGTTAGGGAGTTTTTTGGTGCGATTTGGTGGCTTCTTTGTCCTTCACTGCCATGGTGTTTCAGGCTGGCGGGTCCGACAATTTTGGCGGCTCAGAAGCTGTAAGTTGAAGAGCTAGTTGAAGAGCTAGTTCTCTAGGATTTCAGAAGGGACGTCAAGCCTCGGGACAGCATGTTTTTGGAGGTGGTTCCGTCCTTCAGGGCCATGGTGTTTTGCTGTTTCGCAACCGCCCGCTAGGACTTCGCTGTGGAGCTGTTTTGAGTGGATGGGAGCAGCTCCAGCAGCACCACCAGCAGCAGCAGCAGGAGCAGCAGCACTTTGTTTTTACCAGAATCCAGAAGGGACGTCAAGCCTCGGGACAGCATGTTTTTGGAGGTCGTTCCGTCCTTCAGGGCCATGGTGTTTTGCTGTTTCGGAACCGCCCGCTAGGACTTCGTTGTGGAGCTGTTTTGAGGGCATGGGAGCAGCTCCAGCAGCACCACCAGCAGCAGCAGCAGCACCACCAGCAGCAGCAGCAGGAGCAGCAGCACTTTGTTTTTACCAGAATCCAGAAGGGACGTCAAGCCTCGGGACAGCATGTTTTTGGAGGTCGTTCCCTCCTTCAGGGCCATGGTGTTTTGCTGTTTCGCAACCGCCCGCTAGGACTTCGCTGTGGAGCTGAGGGGATGGGAGCAGCTCCAGCAGCACCACCAGCAGCAGCAGCAGGAGCAGCAGCAGCAGCCCCAGCAGCTGCAATCGCTTCGTTTTTACCAGAATCCAGAAGGGACGTCAAGCCTCGGGACAGTATGTTTTTGGAGGTCGTTCCGTCCTTCAGGGCCATGGTGTTTTGCTGTTTCGGAACCGCCCGCTAGGACTTCGCTGTGGAGCTGTTTTGAAGGCATGGGAGCAGCTCCAGCAGCACCACCAGCAGCAGCAGCAGGAGCAGCAGCAGCAGCCCACAGCTGCCAATCGCTTTGTTTTTACCAGAATCCAGATGTCGTCAACCCTGGTGTTTTGCTGTTTCGGAACCCCGCCCGCTAGGACTTCGCCTGTTGGAGCTGTTTTTTGAAGGCATGGAACCAGCTCGCACGCACCACCATCAGAGCAGCCAGGATCGCAGCAGCCAGGCCCAGCAGCTTTGCATCGCTTTGTTTTTACCAGAAGCCAGAAGGGACGTCAAGCCTCGGGACAGCATGTTTTTGGAGGTCGTTCCGTCCTTCAGGGCCATGGTGTTTTGCTGTTTCGCAACCGCCCGCTAGGACTTCGCTGTGGAGCTGTTTTGAGTGGATGGGAGCAGCTCCAGCAGCACCACCAGCAGCAGCAGCAGGAGCAGCAGCAGCAGGCCCAGCAGCTGCAATCGCTTCGTTTTTACCAGAATCCAGAAGGGACGTCAAGCCTCGGGACAGTATGTTTTTGGAGGTCGTTCCGTCCTTCAGGGCCATGGTGTTTTGCTGTTTCGCAACCGCCCACTAGGACTTCGCTGTCGAGCTGTTTTGAGGGCATGGGAGCAGCTCCAGCAGCACCACCAGCAGCAGAGCAGGTCCAGCAGCTGCAATCGCTTTGTTTTTACCAGAATCCAGAAGGGACGTCAACCGCCCACTAGGACTTCGCTGTGGAGCTGTTTTGAGGGCATGGGAGCAGCTCCAGCAGCACCACCAGCAGCAGCAGCAGGAGCAGCAGCAGCAGGCCCAGCAGCTGCAATCGCTTAGCCGCTTTGTTTTTACCAGAATCCAGAAGGGACGTCAAGCCTCGGGACAGTATGTTTTTGGAGGTCGTTCCGTCCTTCAGGGCCATGGTGTTTTGCTGTTTCGGAACCGCCCGCTAGGACTTCGCTGTGGAGCTGTTTTGAAGGCATGGGAGCAGCTCCAGCAGCACCACCAGCAGCAGCAGCAGGAGCAGCAGCAGCAGGCCCAGCAGCTGCAATCGCTTTGTTTTTACCAGAATCCAGAAGGGACGTCAAGCCTCGGGACAATATGTTTTTGGAGGTCGTTCCGTCCTTCAGGGCCATGGTGTTTTGCTGTTTCGGAACCGCCCGCTATAGGACTTCGCTGTGGAGCTGTTTTGAGGGCATGGGAGCAGCTCCAGCAGCAGCAGCAGCAGGAGCAGCAGCAGCAGGCCCAGCAGCTGCAATCGCTTTGTTTTTACCAGAATCCAGAAGGGACGTCAAGCCTCGGGACAGCATGTTTTTGGAGGTCGTTCCATCCTTCAGGGCCATGGTGTTTTGCTGTTTCGCAACCGCCCGCTAGGACTTCGCTGTGGAGCTGAGGGGATGGGAGCAGCTCCAGCAGCACTACCAGCAGCAGCAGCAGGAGCAGCAGCACTTTGTTTTTACCAGAATCCAGAAGGGACGTCAAGCCTCGGGACAGCATGTTTTTGGAGGTGGTTCCGTCCTTCAGGGCCATGGTGTTTTGCTGTTTCGCAACCGCCCGCTAGGACTTCGCTGTGGAGCTGTTTTGAGTGGATGGGAGCAGCTCCAGCAGCACTACCAGCAGCAGCAGCAGGAGCAGCAGCAGCAGGCCCAGCAGCTGCAATCGCTTTGTTTTTACCAGAATCCAGAAGGGACGTCAAGCCTCGGGACACCATGTTTTTAGAGGTCGTTCCGTCCTTCAGGGCCATGGTGTTTTGCTGTTTCGCAACCGCCCGCTAGGACTTCGCTGTGGAGCTGTTTTGAGGGCACGGGAGCAGCTCCAGCAGCACCACCAGCAGCAGCAGCAGGAGCAGCAGCAGCAGGCCCAGCAGCTGCAATCGCTTTGTTTTTACCAGAATCCAGAAGGGACGTCAAGCCTCGGGACAGCATGTTTTTGGAGGTCGTTCCGTCCTTCAGGGGCATGGTGTTTTGCTGTCGCCCGCTAGGACTTCGCTGTGGAGCTGTTTTGAGTGGATGGGAGCAGCTCCAGCAGCACTACCAGCAGCAGCAGCAGGAGCAGCAGCAGCAGGCCCAGCAGCTGCAATCGCTTTGTTTTTACCAGAATCCAGAAGGGACGGCAAGCCTCGGGACAGCATGTTTTTAGAGGTCGTTCCGTCCTTCAGGGCCATGGTGTTTTGCTGTTTCGGAACCGCCCGCTAGGACTTCGTTGTGGAGCTGTTTTGAGGGCATGGGAGCTGGCAGCAGCAGTCACCATTGGATGGATTGGATTGGATGCGATTTCTAGCAGGATAAGGGACAGGATAAGGGATAGCAGGATTAGAGAGGATTTCTAGTATAGGATTTCCGAAGGGACGTTCCGGCCTCCATGCAGGGAACTTGTTCTTGCGATTAATTTTGCGTCATTTTCGGTACGAAATTAAGTGGTGTTTCGCCGTTTCGGCTGTGTTTCAAAAAAGGTGTCTGCCTGTTAGCAGGATAAGAGAGGATTGGCTTAGATTTCTAGTCGGATAGCAGGATAAGAGAGGATCGGATAGCAGGATAAGAGAGGATTCTAGCACGATAGCAGGATAAGAGAGGATTTAAGAGAGGATTTCTAGTAGGATTTCAGAAGGGACATTCCGGCCCCCAGGAAACTTGTTCTTGCGATTGATTTAGAGGTCGTTCCGTCCTTTCGGGCCATGGTGTTTTGCTGTTTCGGAACCGCCCGCTAGGACTTCGTTGTGGAGCTGTTTTGAGGGCATGGGAGCTGGCAGCAGCAGTCACCATTGGATGGATTGGATTGGATGCGATTTCTAGCAGGATAAGGGACAGGATAAGGGATAGCAGGATTAGAGAGGATTTCTAGTATAGGATTTCAGAAGGGACGTTCCGGCCTCCAGGGAACTTGTTCTTGCGATTAATTTTGCGTCATTTTCGGCACGAAATTAAGTGGTGTTTCGCCGTTGCAGCTGTGTTTCGAAAAAGGTGTCTGCCTGTTGGTTTCTTGCTGGAACAGCCACCAGCAGCAGCAGCAGCAATCAAAAGTGGATTGGATTGGCTTAGATTTCTAGTCGGATAGCAGGATAAGAGAGGATTCTAGCACGATAGCAGGATATATCCGCCGACCCCGGCAGACGCAAGGGGAGCGCGCCAGGGCATAATACATTTGACCCTTTTTTTGAACGGAAGGAGCAGGAGCAGCAGGACGAAAAAGGAACTAAAATCATCATTTTCCATGGGTTTCAGAAGTTACATTAGGCATTTTTGAGGTGCAGTTTCTGAATTTTTCCGTCCTTCACTGCCATGGGGATTTGCCGCTAGGAGTGGTTTACTTTTAGGCGTCGCAGCTAGCCATCAGATGGGGATTTGCCGCTGGGAGTGGTTCGCTTTTAGGCGTCGCAGCTAGCCACCAGCAGCAGAACTTGTGAAGTCTAATTTCTATGGGTTTCAGAAGTTACATTAGGCATTTTTGAGGTGCAATTTTCTCGAAGCTTTTCCGTCTTTCACTGCCATGGGGATTTGCCGCTGAGAGTGGTTCGCTTTTAGCCGTCGCAGCTAGCCACCAGCAGCAGCAGCAGCAGCAATCAAAAGTGGATTGGATTGGATTAGATTTCTAGTCGGATAGCAGGATAAGAGAGGATTCTAGCACGATAGCAGGATAAGAGACGATTTCTAGTAGGATTTCAGAAGGGACATTCCGGCCCCCAGGAAGCTTGTTCTTGCGATTGATTTAGAGGTCGTTCCGTCCTTTAGGGCCATGGTGTTTTGCTGTTTCGGAACCGCCCGCTAGGACTTCGTTGTGGAGCTGTTTTGAGGGCATGGGAGCTGGCAGCAGCAGTCAACATTGTAGGATTTCAGAACATCCAATTGCGTGAGCCATTTCCGTGAGTCCGAGTGATCTGATACAAAGTTGTCTTTGAGCCAAGCTTGACAGGCAAAAGCAGTGTGGAGTTCTTTGATGTGCCGATATGTGCCGCATTTACGAAGGACAATCTAACAATCTAAATGTCCCCAATTTCATCCCCCAATAGTCAATCAGTTTCAGCCCATACACTAATGCTCCAAATTGTCGTGCCGAGGCAAAAACGAGAGTGATCGGCAGCCATCGGAGCATCTCTCATCGCGCCACATGCATGTGGCTGCATCTTGGTACCCTGTCTCATACGGCCAGTAGATTAATTGTTGCAATCCCAATTGCACTAGATTATACTGTAAACCCATTTCCAATATCCAATCATCAACAAACAGGTGTTTGATATTGTTTTGATTCATGGTCTTTTGAGTCTTTTAACAAACAGGTGCTTGATATTGTTTGTACCACATTCTTTTCCGGGGTCGGCGGCAGGGGCGGCAGCCCTTAAATATATATATATATAGAGATTCATATCGATTTATATAGAATCTATAGATTTGCAGTGAATATAAAGCTGATCAAAGCTAGAGGTGTCTAAAGTGGTAAGAATTGGATTCCAAACAAAGTATCAAATCTGTCCCATGCTTGCGACATTGAAAAGGTCATGGGCCTTGATCGAACTGCCATGCACTGGTCGAGATTCCGGTCGGGTACGGTCCAGTACTGATCCCATCACGACCTGGGAATGTGACATCGCAGCTTGTCCATTCAATCATCTCTGGTCGATTGTTAGGTCAACGGTCCCTTTTTGAATATTCTAAGGGCAAACCACATGAAGGTGTGCACACACACTCCAGCCTGAAATTGACCATTCATCTCTTCTCAATGTCACCACTCCCCCACACCAAGGCTTGTATAGACTCTCTGGCCTGCTCAGATAAAGCCAAGATGCCCAAGGTATTGACCTTATCATTCAGTCAGCATACAAGCCTTTTCATAAGATCTTGTGACAGCTTGAGCATCTGTATCTCAAGATCTTGTGTCTCAAATTTGAGCTACAGCAGCTACAGCATCACAAGAAGCTCTAGAGGCGACAAGTTGCTGCAATGTAAGCGCCAGCAATGAAGACAAACCAGCCGGCCAGCACCCAGAGCAGGTTTATGAACTGCTTGTAGACAGATCCCGACCTCTCGGTACACTCACAATGTTTTGGTTGGGTTGTTTCCACACATGCTACTGCACCTACCACCATTGCTATCCTTGCCTCTCCAGCCAAAAAGCTAGACCAATCAGAAGCGCGATATACCTTGGTGCAGGGTGGGTCTGCGGAGAATACAATTTCCGGAGAATTAGATGTCTAACTTGGAACTTTGGGTCACTAAACACGAATCGGACGCCGCAAAGCCAAATTTAAAAGCAGTTGATTGCAGTTGTACAAATCCACAGGGCAAAATTCAGAATCAAAGTCCCTGAGCCCTGAGCCATCCACGTTACAACAGAAGGTTTTGTCCCAAGGAGTCTTGTAGCATCTTGTAGCTGTGTTTGATAGCTTGATCTGTTCAAGCTACAGGAGGCACACTCCAAGACCGAAAATCCAAGAAATTGCAGTGGTCACACCCACGATGCCCCATGCGGCCAGATTCACAATGATGAAGCCTCAAAAGCAAAACAAACTTCTTGGCAAGATGAGTTTAAGAGGGGAACACGCTTATTAGCAGTGAAAATGCATCTGAGATGAGTCAGGCAGCAAAAAGGATCGATGAAAAAAGCAAACACTTTGTTTTTTCCAGCACACAATGAACTTTTGATCGGCCAAAATGAGACATGTTTTATAAAATCACATTTCAGATCATTTCAGCACCTTGCCGCACCATCGCTACATCTCAGGGTTTTTCTCCCCTTTTGACCCTCCCAGATCCTCCCAGATCCTCCCAGATCCTCCCAGCTCCCATCGATGCCTAGCCAGCCCAGCACACCAACACCGACACTCTGCTGCGCATCGGCGGAGTCTGCAGTCGGCTTCACTCCCTGTGCCTCCAAGTTGGGAGCGCTCAGTGATTGGTCAGATTTGACTGTTCAATGAATTGGTCCGGCACAACACCTATGTAGATAGCCAAGGTTGACCATGTTCTTCATCCTTCACAAGAAAGTTTGGTGCTCTTCGTCTTCGTGAGACTTCACAAGAGACATGGACACACCGTGCCACCCATGCTCGAACTTCAGACCACCATGCTAAGAGACTTAAGATTGGGGACGAGATTCTTCGTGAACATTTTAAAGACGAGCTAGGAGACAAACTTGACAGGACAAGCTGGACAGCAGCCGCATCGAAATTCCGGCAAGAAGCTACGCGAGAACCACCTCCTTGATGCTATGAGAAGTAAGAATCCGTACAGTTTTCAGCTGCAGAATAACATTAGTTATAGTTATAGTCATAATAATGTTATCAACTCTCTGCACTTAAGAATGCTCTAGCCAATTCGAAGCCACAATTTGTCTGGCCTTCGTGTTGGAAAAGATAAAAGACTTGATCCAAATGCGATAAAATTCAAACGGACAAGATCGAAGCCTCCACATCTGATGCTGCTGTCTCCGCCATGACTGGCTGCCTGGACCAGAAATCAACATAAAATCATATTGAAACCTAATTCAAATACTGCGAGACGGTCCAATTCCGGGGTCCGTTGCTCGTTACTGTTACTCTCTCTGATCAACTTATGCCTAAGGCCTAAAGTCAACATTGAATCCATGTGGCTCGAACCAGTCCTTGCAACCCCGTTTGCCCATGCCTCTGCAAACAGAGAACGGTTTGACACCAAACTGATCGCAGTCCAGAAAAAGGAGCAGCGGAACAGAAGTTCAATCCAGGTAGCATCCCTCAATACATCCTAGACTTGTACGCATCAAGATCCGAAACATGGGGGAATGCACTTGCATGCACTAGACTCCAATCTAAAATCATGCTGCGAAGTAAAGAAAAACACTGATAGATCTGACAGTGAAACGTCGTCTCGCAAAAGAATCACCAACTGGCAATGCCTGGAACTGAAAGCTACTGAAAGCTACAATCAACGTGGCCTTCACTTCTCACATCTGAGTGCTCTTGCCCTCTGCCGATGCAGCCGATGCCATCGCATCATGGTGAAAGCGAGAGCGTCAAAGTTGCATCATATTCAGTGCTGAATTGAAACTACAAAATCTCCAAAAACAGTTTCTGGTTCACCGGATTCAAACCAGGTTTGTCTTGTTCATTCCAAGGCTTTCCAAGGTATTGAGCTGTGCTTTGTGGGATATACAAGAAACATCAAGAAACACGTGTGCCTCAATGATAAACTGATAAACGCTTCGAGTCTGCGAAGAGCGTGGAAGTGCGCCACTAGTACTGAGCCAGACTCATTGCTCAGGAAGCACTGAAGAGATTTTGTACGAATGGAAGCAGACTGCGAATCTGCTGGACAAAATAAACATCATCAACCACACCATATCTTTTTGCCCATTAAGCTGGGAAAATGCAATATCCACCCGGTTTTACCAGGCAGCTTTGTTTGGAACAAAGGTGAGACAGAGCGCAAGAAATCAGGTTGAATTCTGCCAATGGACAAAAGCATGCGGTCGATATCAATTCTATCTGCCAAGTAAAAAGGTAGCTTGCAAAGTAGCACATTTCGACCCAGGCTTACGCTCATTTGTACTATTGGAGCTCCCTGTTAAATCTCCCAGTCAAAATGGAGATTGACGAAGCGTATGGAAGCACATCTTCTTGGAAAAGTCTGGAGTCTGGCCCAAATGTTGTCCCTTAAAAGCTTGCAGACCTGCTGCACAGAGCATGGCGAACTGCTCCTTTGTTTCAGATGCAGCTGGCAGGTACAATAGCAATAGGTCCCGTCAAGGTAATGGAGTGGCCCTTTCAAGCATCAAAGCCAAAAACATGTCATTTGCAAGAAATGTACCTGGGCTGATCAGTGAGACTCAGCAAAATGTCAAAGGAACGGATTCTTTGGGGCCCATTTCAGCTTCTGAGTGCACAATATCTTACAAATGTTGCTGCGCAACTATGCAATTGTGGCCGATGCTGCTGATTTCGTTCATATGGTTGAATTTAAGATAAGACATCTTGACCTCGTGCTAGTACAATAATTTAATAGATCAAGCAGCGGACCAAAACCCTAGCAGGCTCAACTCATATGCGAATCTTTGGCACTCGTGCAATCAGCCTTGACCAAGGCATTCTGCCAGTGTGACAGAACAAACGTGCCACAAAGAAGTAGAGAGTAGAGAGTCAAAAACAAAAATTCCTCAGTTTCATGGAGAGGATTATTATTGTTTGTTTCTCTGCTCATGATTCTGTGTGCGTCTTTGGTCACTAGATCCATCAAGCTCTTCCGACTTGAACGGTGTCTCTGTCACTTGAACATCAGCCACTACTTGAAATGTATTACAGCAAAAGATCCCCGCCACGTGCAACATGGAGGAGATTTGCACAGCCCCAGGAGTGACTGACGAAAGGCTAAGCGGATGCTTGATGCGTCGAGACACGAGTGCATGAGCCGGGTTTTAGGCAATTTGTGTGAATCACCTCAGGCAAAGCTCTTCAAAACAACAATTCGATCTGTGGAACAAACGGCCTCCCCGTGGGCAACAGTCTCTTAGACTTCCTAGAACATATTCAGATGCCAGAGCATAGGCTTTCGAACATAAAAGTAAAAGAGCGGTTCGACATTTGCCTCGCATGAAGTCTTACATTTCTCCAATTTTCTCCAAACGTGCAAAATGGCAAACATTACCAGCTCCACAGATAGAATGACTCCCCGGTGTTTTCCCACTGAACTAGTGCAGCTTGGTGACACTTCTGTGGGTACTGAATCCTGAGCATGGCTGCATGATCTAGTGTCTTGAGAATCGTTTTGTAAACTACCTCAAAGTTCAGGAAACTATTTGTATGCCCTGCCCTAACAGATTGATTAGTGAGGCTACAAGCGCCAAGTGAATCTGTTTTGTTCTATAGTGGCAAAATTATATTTAAGGCCAACTACTTGCAAAGCAACTCCTTTCCCAATTTTTCCTCATTGAAGGCTGCATCTTTGGGAAAAGCCACACAATCCGTCTCCATGATGGAAATCCAAGATTCTGATGTAGTTTCTTGCGATTGTCAACCTTCTCCTTAGAGCAAACTCGAAATTGCAGCTATCGCAGACCCATCCACCGCCAATGCTAGAAGTTTAGACCATAAAATTGGATTCTTGGGACCAGCATGCATCACCCCTTTGCACGGATCTGTGGCCTATCAAGAGATCTTCTTAAAGTCCATCTCAATGGTTACCTGTATTCTTGGATAAGTTATGATTGGAAACCGCGACGCCGAGCTACCTTCATTTCCTTAAGTTTCTTGCCCCAAGCCGACTCCTGGAACCACCTGCAGAACAAGAACCTCCTAAAGTTGCTCTTCTGGTTGCAATTCATGTGTCTGATTATCTGATTTCCTAACCTTGTTCTGATCAAGGTTAATGCGAAGTCACACCACGTCAAATGTCAGTGTGGTGATATGTGGAGTGTAGCTGTGTGGCTCAGAATTTTTGGCCTCTCAGCAACAGCAGCTCGGAGACGTTCATCAAAGTCCTCGCTGTCAATGGTGGGCTCCGGAGGCTCTCGAAGCGTGGATGCAAAGTTGTCGCCTGGGCGCCCAGGGAACTCTCGTTGATGGAACTCCCAGGGTTATTTTTTGCGTAGCCAGCTGCTTGTGTTTCTTCACATTCAACACAGTACAATGTGGCTCTTTCAATAGCTCAGTGCTTGCACAATGCTTCGATGCAAATGGCTGTCACTAGGTCAAAAATGATCAAAGAAGCATTTAGTCACGGCTCTGAGCAATGGCTGTTGAGATGTTTTGATTCTTTCTGGCTTCAAATTCATCATTAGCTCTTCCTTTTTTACCCTTTTCTGGATCAGAGTGAAACGTCCAGAGAATCCTGGGGCCCCTGCGTTGTGGTCTGTAGTTAAAATCTTCAACGAGCAAAGGTCGCTGAAAGGCACTGACCTTCACGCGCGCAGGATGCGCTCTAAATGGCTGACAGTTAAGAGTGTGCAGAGTGGGCGAGTGATTAAAAATGGGCTGAAGGAACATCCATGTGATGAAATTCCTGCTTCACTGTGTGGGAACCTTGAAGGACTGTGTGAGAGAGAGTGTGTGATTGAATAGTGATCGAGGAGTGAGTGAACAGGTGAGTGAATAAGTACTCGGTGAATAAAATATTTGAGACATATCCTTCGGGTAAATTGCAGCAGTGACGCTACTGAATCGTCAAGTTCTTGCTACATTTGGTTTTCAAAGAGCCGGAAACATACCTAGAAGTCCTTGGCGCAGCCACTAAAATGCATTTTTGCTAATTGGAATTACAAACACACAAATGCAGCAGCCCAACAACACCTTTACACTGCCACTACAAGGCTGCTCAAACCCTTGTAACATTCAATGGAAGTTGCAATCTACCATCGCAGAAAAAGTGCACGAAGCAGTGTGACACGGAATCTGAATAAGGTCGTTTCACTCTTACCGCGAGCAATCAAACTAGAGTTTTCTGAACCATCGCTTTTTGCCGACACTTGCCGCTTGCCCAGAACATTTGTGAGTGTGTGTGTATGTGTAGGTTGCTTTTGTCTGTCGCCGACAAAGCATCTTGATTCGAAAAGTATCAGACGCTGCAGAGCGGCAACCTTTCGTGTTCTCTGTCCCAAAAAAAATAGAAGGTTTTTGGAGTCAAATGATGCAACCAAACTCAGAAGTTTCTGACCATGAAGCAGTGCCATTGTAGGGCCCCTGAAAGTTGCATGTATGAAAATTAAGCAAGAGAAATCAGCAACACATCAAATTCTCAAGAATTGTTCAACGACACTATGAAACCACTTCCAGTAATGAGCCACTCCGCATGGTGTTTTTTCTGCCTTGTGATCACTGATTCTCCGGAGATGTTTTCAGGTATGTTGTGTGCCATTCCAAACAATGTTCTTACACTCAAAAATCACCTGTGATCAAAGTAAGTGTGCTCAAATTAAAATAAGTGAGTGGGTCATCATTTGCATTTTGAGGCATACCAGACATACCACAAAAAGCATTTGGCTCCATATCGTCCATATGATGGTAGCTGCTGTCACATATCCAACATAAGCCCCCCCGCTTGGGCACCAGTGGCAACCACCAGAATTGCGCACTAGCAGCCCCCAGCTACATTTGGACATGCCACATGCCTATGTTTTGAAGAACCATTAGTAACACCAAGAAGATTAGAAAAGACAGCAGCAGCTATCTTATTGTCAAGATTAAACTATATTCATTATATAAAGGCTTTGAGAACAAGGCCTCGACAGCACGCAAGTGCTCCCATCGTTCATGCTCTTCTTGCTGCAGCTCCCTTCGCCTTTCCTCCTCGAGACTGCAGAGCATTCCACAATAAGCGCGTGGCCTATGCATAGACCTGGTATGACATACTCCCGAATATTTCCCTGCTTCTCTGTGGAGAATTGCCTAGATGATAGAGGTTGTGAGAAACAAGTCGCATGGCGCTTCAGTCCTGCTGCTGCCGTAGCATCTCAAACCCAGCTTGCACGTCAGATAAACGAAACAAGGGCTCTCTCGTGTTCATCTTCTGTCTCATTTCTTGGACCTGTCAGAATGATTGCTTCAGTTACCAGGACATCTGGGACATCTGTTGTTTTTGCTCAAAACTCACAACACAGAATGAGGCAGGCAGGTTGTGTCCTGTGTTTGCACAATTCAAGACATCTGTCGCAGTTAAAGTGCGTATGATGTACTCAAGGTAGTGGTTTGTCTTTGCTCATCAGACCCAAAATGTCTGGTGTGCCTGTTTCTTGTATTCATCCTCCTGCTCCTTCATCTTTTTCATTCTCTCCTGAATCAACAGTAGAGATCTGCTAAGCAGCGCTACCTGGAAGCTGCAAGTTGGAAAGAAAAAACTGAAAATGCAAAGATTCTGCGCATTGCTCCTGGAGCATGGCCTGTTGGTTTGGGCTCAGTTTTGATGGTCGCACTGGAGCTGATGTTGGCCTTGACCTTCCCTTCTCTACAGCAGCCTGGGACCAATCTCATTGTCCAGGACAAAATCTGCAGGAAAGTGAACAATGTCAGGTAAGGAGTAGACCGTGGCGCATGTTGAATTGTTGCTGCCCATGCCATGATACTATCTGCATGGTGTCCCAAGACTGTTCGCAATTTTTTTTTGTCCCTTTGCTTCACTGAATAAAGGACCAAAGCCTGCAATGCTTTGCGCTGCACCAGCTCTTGCTTCGAGGTCTCATCATGTTTGGCCTGTAAGCCAACCCCGTGCATCTGGAATCAGCCCCGAACATTGCCTTGCATGAAGCAAACCGATATGCATCAACCAGTTCAGAATATCAGAATGTCATGCCAACTTTGTTCCATGAAATGTTGAAAAGGTATGGACACGTAGAATTAACGCAGTTGTGCAACCCAAAAGCAGGTTCCAGGATTCCAGGGTCCCAGGGTGCTGTTCCGGTTTTTGGGTTCGGCACAAAACAGCATCCCAAACCAGAGATTGAAACCCAGCAGTCACTGCTGTTGGGAATTCAACAATATAGAATTAGCTCCACCCGCAGTACAAATGCCTTCGCAGCAATCTCAATTCGCTCATCAAAAGAAAGACCTGCGTTCGAACGTACCTGAAGAATTCATTCAAGCAAACCACAACTATTTTTTGCGAAGCACTGGATAGTAAGAGACAGTAAGAGGCCATAAATTGAAAGAACAAACCAATCGAAGTCACTGGACATTTCTTCTGTTCAAATTTGTTCCCTGTTGCTCCTGTTGCTTGCCACAACCCCATTTTTCGCATGGACACAAACCCCAGAAATTGTCCAATCTTGAGGTGTGGACTGTCTTGCTGAGACGGGCTCGAAGTTCGTGTTTCAATGCTTCCTTGCAAACCCGACAGGCAAGATTGAATCACGGCAAGTCAATTACAGAATCTGTATGTGAGCCGTGTTCTAAACCGTCTGTCATTCCACTATCCTGGTTGATGAATTGGCATTCCCAGTTTATGGATTAGGATAATTAACCAATTAACTTTAGAACGACCACACCCGTCCACCAACCACTCTTGCACCTTGAATTGAGTGTGGCGACCACCATTGGGAGACACAGGGTCTTCCGATGTCAATCCCATGGCTGTCTGTGTCACTCAAATAAAGCAATGCAAGGATGTGAACTGTTGGATTGTTGGATGTTATTCGTATAAATATGGAAGTAACCTCTTGTTTTCCAAAATTCAAGGTTTGCATGCATCACATGTTGCAAGTATGGTCGCAAGCTTGAACAGGTTGTGAAAACATGTGACGGTGCACCGAAAATAAAAAACAACTGATGCCCCAAGGAGAGAAACTCTGTGCCAGCCTGAGTCAGTTTGAGTATAAATTCTCAAAGTTTGTCAAGTTGGGGCGGGAAAAACAATCATGGAGTCGCAGGTTCAGACGGCCTTCAAAACGCCATTGTCATTTCAAAGCATTGGCATGCGGCACAAGCATTCAATCGATTGAAATCAATGTGGCAATTGAAACCGTGTTCGTTCTGCGCTCTTGAATATTTTTTTAACCACCCAATGTCTGGACAACATACTGTGTACTCTTGCACGAGTTACTCTTGCAAATCACCATTGTTTCAAATCAAAACCACGTGGGAAATTTGAAATCATTTTTTTCATGTTGTCGCATTCCTCATTTCTAGCACACGACATTTCTTCCCTTCGGATAATTGAAAAACACACATGCAGTGTTCAATCCACAAAGTTGTCGAAAAAAACGTTGCAAGGATAAACATGTTTCCCAATATGACGCGAACAATGTCTCATTGCAAAAAAAATACTCCTACCACGCGCGCAGCTATGCGTATGTATATACATATATATGTGTATATATATATATATACCTAAAATTTCCATAAATATGCATGTGTAAAAATAGATAAATACACATATAATTTTCATATATATACATATATATACGTATATACACGCATACATACATACATACATACATACATACATACATACATACATACATACATACATACATACATACATTACACACATAACATAACAGAACATAACATACCATAACATAAAATAACACAACATAACCTAACATAGCATTAAAAAAACATTTACATACTAACACAAATACATACATACACACCACACATACAATACATTACATTCATTACATACATTGCATGCATTACATACATTACATACATTACATTCATTACATACATTACATACATTACATACATTACATACATTACATACATTACATACAATGCATTTATACATACATTACATACATTACATACATACAAACATACATACATACATACATTAAATACATACACACATACATACATACCTACGTACATGCATGCATACATACATACATACATAAATACATACATACATTACATACATTACATACATTACATGCATTACATACATACATACATACATACATACACACACATTCATACATACATACATACATACATAACATACATTGCATACATTACCTACATAACATACAGTACATACATAACATACATAGCATGCATTACATACATTACATACATTACATACATTACTTACATAACATGCATAACATACATTACATATATTACATACATTACATACATTACATACATAACAATCAAACCATGCATAACATACATACCATACATCACATACATATCATACATACATACATACATACATACATACATACAAACTTACATACATACATACATACATACATACATACACACATACATACATTCATACATACATACATACATACTGACTTAACATAACACAACATAACATAACATAACATTACATTACATACATTACATACATACATACATACATACATACATACATACATTACATTACATTACATTACATTACATTACATTACATTACATTACATCAGAAGAAAGAAGAGTAGAAGAGAAAGAGTCAGAAGAAAAGCAGATGCCGATGCGCGAAAAGGTAGGAAAGTCGCGAAACACTGTGTTTTCCCAATGATTTGGGGCTCCGGAGGGTCTTTTTTTTTCCGCCAGTCGCCTCTTGGCTTTCGCCAGGTCGATCCACACGCTCTATTGGCATGCAACATGTTCCATTAATTCAGGCATTTAATTGCCACATTGTTGATGGGCCGCCAAAGTAGTGCTGATGAAGGACCAGTACACAGTCCTATAGGCCGTCGTCATGCAATGAAACAGAAAAGGGGACCAAACAAGAAGCACAACAGAACAAACAAAAAGCAAAACGCAACAGCAAACAAAAACCAAAACAAGGGAAACATTGCATGCGACAGGGGGCCATATATAGCACACTGCAAAAGAAAATGGCTTTGCATTAACTAAGATTGGTATGGCGAGAGCAACCAAACAACAAGGAAAAAGCGAACCACCACGAAACAGACTCGCCATACAAGATCTGTGAGAAAGAAAACAACACAGCACTGTGCGGAAACCAGGGCTCCCCCCAGCCAGGAGCCCCGAGATCACACAGAGCAAGCCCCGTAGGGATAACATCTCACAAATCTATAAATTGAGACTAGCAATGACACCGTCACGTAGCCAAAGGGAGGTGAAACGAAGTGTGAAACAGGGCTATGGTGTGAAAAATGGACACGCCTCTACCTCTCAGATTCCACTCAGTAGTTCTTTTCCAAGCATCAGCATCTGCGGGACATTCTCAAGTGTTCTTGGAGCTCATCAAAGTGAGTTGGATCCGGCAGCTGTGCATAGTGTTCCTCTGAAGAGGTGCTAGAACCTTTCTCAGTGCGGGGCAGTAACAAAAGCGCCTTTTGTGCTTCACTGACTTCATAACTCGCTGAGATAGTGCAACTATCTAGAATGCAACTCAGTTGGTGCAATTGGCGCGTTGCATTGTCAAGATCAGTTATTCGCTGGGGCGGAACTTCTGGGATGCCCCGGAGCTTGTGGCACGCTTTTTCTAAAAGTTTGGTGGCGGTTTCTATTTCCTCACTGGAGACTTGGCACAGTGTCAGTTGGGTAATAGCCGTTGCCATCGGTGAACAGCAGCTGTTTCCATCCGAAGATCACCAATGCAGATCAGTGCTAACGTCTGAGAAACCAAACGGCCATCTTAAAGGTTGAAGCGCGGCAGGCGCAGCGCTTGCCCGTACGGCCATCTTAAAAGTTGAAGCGCGGCAGGTGCAGTGTTGAGAACTCCGTGCGGCCATCCTAAAGGTTGAAGCGCGGCAGGTGCAGCGCTTGAGAACCCAGTACGGCCATCTTGAAAGTTGACGCGCGCGGCAGGCGCAGCGCTTGAGAACCCAGTACGGCCATCTTAAACATTGAAGCGTGGTAGGCGCAGCCCTTGAGAACCCCGTACGGCCATCTTTCCTTGCATGGCCCCACAAGGGCCAACCACAAACTGAACCCCTGCGACCCCATTGTCAATGTTGAGGGTGTGTTGATGCTATTGCAAGTAAGAAGTAAATTCTAATTTGAGGATGTGACCTGAGGCAAAATTTCTTTTTGATGGCTATCAGTTCAAAAGGTGAAACTGCAACATTAAGCCTCCGTCCAACATTGAAGATGGGGCGCAGGGATTTAAACATACGTCAAATCCTCATCTTGGATTTGCAACTGCAAGTCTGGAGTCTGGAAGCGCAAACATCGACGATTCCCCTTTGCAGGAATGCCGATGTCAGGAACTGTAAATCTGAACACCGCAAGCCGCGTTTGAAGCATCTGTAAATCTCCGAGCGTCACTCCGGCTTTCGGTGTGTGTAGATAATCCAATCTTCCAGTGAAGAAAAAAGGGGAGCCACAGCAATCATAGCTGAAAGTCAAAGATCGCGTTTATCTTTCTTGGTGGAGGCTTCAGGTTGGGCTTGCCACTGTGATGGGCGCTGTCCTTCTGCTGCAAGAGCGCTGTTGATTTCCAACCACATTGATGAGAAAGAGTTCGCTACTGATTTTTTTTCAGCTTTCTTCCATGGACGGGGCAAGCAACGAAATATAGCTTTGTTGGGTTCCTCTGCAAATGTTTCATCTGGGCCCCAATGAAGGAGATCCACCCACAGGGCAGTGTGTGCTTGGCACCATCGGCTTCCGCCTTTCCACTGCTCCATGTGGAGGCGTCAAATAAAAGTATCCAGCCGCGCTTCAACCTTTAAGATGGCCGCACGGACTTTTTCGACATCTCAACTTCAAAAAGTGGTCCGAGAATGGTGTGTTTTGTGCATTTTGACTTCGAAATGTGCTTCGCGCCACAACGGCGTGCACTTTTTCGACATCGCAACTTCCAAAAGTGGTCGGAACCCCTGGTGTTTTTAACATTTTGACTGCCAACGTGGGAGACCCACGACTGGCTCATTCACACCCACATATCAATTGCGCGTGCAACCCTACCACACAAGAAATCCCTCAATAATAACCAACATGGGTGACCCATGACTGGTTATTGCAATTTGTCTCCCCTGCAGACCCCCCTTTAATGTTGACCTAGTCTTGGTTGGGGGGGTGGGGGAGGAAATAGGAAGGCTGTAGTTAGGTCGATGTCAAAGTACATCTTTGCCATGGCGTTCTTCAACTTTACCTTCGGTTGACTCAGTATTGTGAATGCACTGCCGACACAACATTTGAACTCAGCCTTCCTGCAAGTTGGTACTGACCTCGACACACAATACCAGTGTCACCATGTTGGGATGCTATGTCACAATGATTTGAACAACGCAGTTTCACGGGGTTCTCAAGTGCTGCGCCTGTCACGCAAACAAATGGAATCTGTAAAATAATCGTACAAACAAAGAGCCCAACTAAACCCACCGCGCTGTGGCGAGAACACAATTTTGGTGTTGCGGGCCAGACGGTTTAGTACCCTACTAAACGCTCCGCGCTGTGGCGTGAGATCCATTTTGGCCGGTCAGCTTACATTCTGAGAAACAAAAAATTAGTAGGGTTTGTTTATCGAATTTAACCAACTATACGCCATACGCTGGCCATGTTTTTCCGCAAATTTCCACGGTTTTCAGGGTATAGTAGTCCAAGTTCATCAACTATACGCTCCGCGCTGTGGGAAAACGCACATCCTAGCTTGGCGGCTGTTGTGCTGCTTTCAGCAACCGCTGGCGGCGCTTTGCTGCTGATTTCTG